TGACAAAGAGATGAATTTAATATATAAACGTGAAAGAAACATGAAGTTTCAGCTGGTAGTTTCTAATATTTACTACCATAACAGATTCACCCTACATTATAAAAATGGCATTTACGTCACATCATGAATATAAATAAATAAATAAAGCCATCAATACTACTACTTTTTATTTTTGGTACCAGGGATTGAACCCAGGGGCACTTAACCACTGAATCACATGCCCAGCCCTTTAATTTCTGCTTTTTTTCTTTTTTAAATTTTGAAATAGAATCTTGGAAAGTTGCTAGGGCCTTCTAAATTGCTGAGGCTGGCTTTGAATTTATAATCCTCCTGCCTCAGCCTCCCAAGTACCTGGAATTATAGGCAGTGGCAACATATAACTTCTTTAAATTAACTTGTTGCATTTAACTTRTTGTTAACTGACTTCTTAGATCATTACTCTAACCTGTTATTTTACAAACGCACCTTAAAATTTCATGTCATTCAGTAACATTCCAAAGACCATAATCATTTGGCAAGAAAGACTTAAATCGTCAGCTGGTTCCAGTAAGAGATCTCAATGAAAGATGTGGTCAATACAGTTGTTCCTCAGTATTTAAAAGGGACTGGTTCGAGGACACTCCACAGACACCAAAATCTACAGATGCTCAAGTCCCTTATACAAAAAATGGCATAGTACTTGCATATAACCTATGCACATMTTCCAGTATACTTGAAATCACCTCTAGATTATTCTAATAACTAATAAGACATACGTGTTACAACTATACAGTTGTTATGTTATTTTGTTTAGGGAAATAGTGACAAAAAAAAAAAAAAAGCTGGTACACGCTTTGTATAGATACAATTTATGCTTTTAATGTTTTCAACCCAAAGTAGGCTGAATCCACAGATGTGGAATCTGGAGGTTATGGAAGACCAACTGCAAACTGCACATCAAGGTTCCATAACCAAGAGTCCCAAGTCTTTTATGTGTAAATTAACTTTAAGATTGGATGGCAGAATCCTACCATCACTGCTGTGACTGACAGGGGCACCCTGCTTCTTTTCAGTTATCTTCTCACTACTTACTTTTTCATTAATATTTCTTAGAATGTGTAGAGAGAAAAAATGATGCAGGAAGAATAAATTTTGTTATTTAACTTTCATTTTTAAGGGCATGTTCACCAGAGCTTTAAATAAGATTCTTCAATTATTGAGGACTGAAATTATCCATGCTTCCCAGCATTATCTCATGTGCTAATAAAGCTAAAATAAGAATTAGCTTTACCAATCAATAATTGGGACCCAAACTTGTTAGACATTGGGTCAAAAAGGGGATGATCTAAATTTGAGACAACAATGGGAAACTCTTGGGAACCTCAGAACTAGACTCCTAAACATTCATTCATTATCCTAACATGAGCCAACACAGGGAGAAAGAATTCTAAGCCTCTAAATAATCAGGTATACTTAAAGGCACATGGCATACACTGGCCTAGAAAAAAAATGCAGAAGAAAACCACAAGGTAAAATTCAGTCTCTGAACTGATGTACACTGAGTAGCAAGTTAACTTACTAGAAAGATGGTCACTAATGCAGCTAAAAAGAAAGGGCCATAAAATAAATTGTGACCAGCTTATGTCAATGAGATACATGAAACTACTTTAAAAAATAAAATCTGCATTTTATTAAAAATGACTAGCTGGTATCTTGGCTTTGATAGTGCAACAGCACCATGACAGCAAGGGTAAGCAGGTCAATCCCTTGCAAAACTTACCTTGACTGGCCCAATGGAAACAGAAGGCCCCAGAAAAGAGAGAAGCATCTGGCAGTAGCAAATTGTTTTATTTTATCTTTCTGTGGAAAGAAACTAATTTTAAATAAGAACCAGAGCATTTAAAGAATAAATATTTTTTTAAAGCTCATTATCTAGTTAGAGCAGCTCTATAAAGAAAATAAGAGCAGCTCCTTGCTGCTTAGAGATGGAAAGAAACAGAAGAGGAATCAAGAGTTGTCTCTGCATCTCCTAGGCAGTTTTAAAATTTGTGTTATTCTGGAATAACAGAATAAAAGAGTCTTTTATATAAAGAACTCCTGCAGGCAGAATCTTTTAGGTCTGATACTTCTAAGTAAAGATTTTTATACAAAATTAAGGGCTATATTCCAAATATAAAAGAAGAAAACCACTTGACATTCAGCCCTTCTAGTCATAGGGTTAAGTAAAAAGAGTTACAGCAAGCTCATTTTTCCACTGAAATTTCACCAAAAACTTTATCCATCAAGGCTTAAACAATTATCAAAGCAAAGAGTACTCATTAGCACAAGATCATACATAATTTCTGAAATTTTTGCTAGCCTAAAATTTTCATGACTTATCAAGATACTCAAATGGAAATAACCCAGCCACCTAAGCATCTCTGTATTATAAAACCTAGCATAGGGCACACAATTATTCATGGTAAGTGAACCTGTTGCCTTTCTTGGATTTCTCTAGAAACTCAGTTCTACCAAAGTATCCGAGTCAGCATGATAACCTTTTGATTCATATCAACTCCCTCAAAATGTCCATTTACAGTTTATGCTAGAGATGGAAGGGGCAGCTCATTAAGTAGGAGTGCAGAAGCAATAAACATTTTTTTTTAAAAAATAAAATAGTGTTAATAGAAAATCAACTATTGATTTGACATTGTCCTATGAAGAATCAGAATAAATAGAGCATTAAATCTCCCTACCCCACCCCTACACACAAAGAGGAAGATACTTCTAGAATAAAATTTATTTTAAGCCTAAAGTATAAGCAATATTTTCTGATTCTATGCATTTACATGGTCCAACAAAGTTAATTATGCTGACATATATCAGATAATATTTACTCTTAGAACATTAACTTCAATTGACATGCTTTATAGTCATTAAGTTAAAAAACTAGATATGTGCTGTGACTTTTAAATTAAAAAAAATCTTTAATTTTATTGGAGTAGTAAAAGTAAAAAGTTTAATACAGAAGACTTTCATTACATTCAAAATTTAGTTACAGTCATGATTCAACATTAGTCTTATTTAAAAACATTATTTGGGCATCAACTAATCCCTAAATAGCTACAAGCACAGTATTGACCTAGAGTTTGAGATTTTACCACAATACCTGAGGCAAAAATATAGACAAAAAAATAAATAAGTAAAAACATAACATTCTTACTTGTCCCATTGGTGGCCCTCCCATAGGGGGCATCATTTGTGGCATCATTCCATGAGGTACAGGAGGCATATTGGCTCTCTGACCCATAGGGTGCATTCCCATTGGTGCATAATGCATGCCAGGGTGCCCCATCTGAAAAACAGAAAATTTAAAACTTGGCAAGTCACATTAAATGATTCTCAAAAAAAATCTCACTTCAAGAAATCACTTACCTTCAGTACATAATATTAGGCTAATTTGTGCCCAAATTATTGTATTAGTTTATACTTTTCTATTTTTTTTTTAAAAAAGCACTACACTAGTATTTGAGGAGCTTGCAAATTAAATAATTATTGGACAGCTAGGTCAGTTGTTTTGCACTGATTCAATCAGCTACTGATTTGCTTGCTCAGCTTGGAAGATTATAGACACATATATATACGTATATGTATATACGTATGTATACGTACATATGTATATAAAGCCAACTTAAAAACTGTTGGTGAAAACCTGAACTTTGTCCTATTTCAAACAGACATAAAAGACAGCTGACATTTTTTTAAGCACTATTGACTTTAAAATTCTTAATTTACCAAACTGATTTAAAGGAGGGCTGGTCTTATAAAATACAAAAGTATGGGTCCCCAGAGACACCTGTCTACTAATAGTTACTAACCTAACTTTTAAGACAGGTAAAATTCCATTTGCCAAAAACACAGTTTCAAAGACTTAATATTCTGTCACTCAGACACTAAGTGCAAACAATAATTCACCCACTTTAATGCACTTTTAAAAGACAACTTTCGTTACAGACGTGTCCATTGTTCCAGGTAATTATCCCCTGCCAATTAATCAAGCAGTACCCCCTGCATATCACCACCATTACTAGAGAAAACAAATTTTGCTAGCTTCTTTTAAAGTCTTAGAGAATCAAATTTCCTTACTAAAACGGGCCTATAGCTCCAAGACGCAGCACGCCCAGGGTTCAACACCTTCAGCGCGCATCTGTCTAGGCCAAGCCGACTGGGAACTTCCAGGGTCCTACATCCTTCTTTTGTGCATCCCCGCTCTCCGTTTCTCTCCCTCGAGACATATCCCACCATCTCGAGCGCTTCCTTCGTCCACTCTTATCTTCTTCTCCTTTTGGAGAAAGCTTCCTGTCTCTGACTCCGTTTTTCATTGTGCCGCTTCCCCCTGCCCCACCGATCCCTTACCGAAGGCCGTCTCCTCAGGAAGCCGTCAGCAGAGACCCAAGAGCTGGAGCACAGGCTTGAGCCGGACAATCTCCGCTCCCCGTCCCCGGGACCCCGCGAGGGAGGATGGCTCTCCATTTCACTCACCATGAGGCCTCCACGCTCAGCTCCCGTCCCCGGCCTCATCGTCGGGCTCAGACTGCTCCGCCGGCGGCCACTGCCGCTACACATACCAACAAGAAGCGATCTGAGTGGCTGGCGCCCGCTGGGGCCAAAGGTTAAAGGCTGCCCTGAGCTGCGGGGCGGGATCAGTGGGGCCAATAAGCTGACAGGCTTCCCCACTGTCCAATCAGAGTGCGCTGCCGACACGCAGCTCTGCGGCGATTCGCCCCCAGCCTCAGCCTCACTCGGCGTCGCCTGCATGGAGGGGAGGGAAGGGGACGGAGGAAGTTTCTGCGCCGTGTCCTCTGCCGGGAAAACTCCACCAACTTCCCCCGGGAAAGGGAAGACAACCGCGTCCCAGCTTCCCGGGCTTAGACCGCCTCACCCCGTAGGGGGTGGGGCAGTGGGGGCTTGCCACCTTTCACCCCCCGGCCCAAGTTACTCACGCCCCACTAACCTGAGGCCGCCAGGGATAGGGTAGGGTGGGGTGGGGGCGGGGTATGCAGCTTCTAGCGTTAGCGGTGGCTGGGGCCGGGAGCGCGCGAGCGCGCGCCTTGCTCGAAGCAAAGGGGAGGGGCGGGGAAGTCGCGAGGAGGAGTCCAGCAAAAGTTCGAGCTCAGAGGCACCGGCTGCTGAGCGCGTGCCGAGGCGGACGGGGGAAGGAGGCGTGTCGAGTAGCGTGGAGGGAAGTTGTGGGTAGGGGCGGGTGGAACAACGCGAAAGGCAGAAAGAGGTGGGTCGATAAGGCAGAGTGAGCGCGCCGGGTGGTGAGCTCCTGCTAGCAGGGAGGCTAAAGAAGAGTGTGAGCGTAGAGGAGAAGAAGGAAGAAAGCAAATAGGTTAGAAAATGTGTATCATAGTGGTATGGGCGGGCGCTAGGACCCGGCGTCGAGAAGATGCGGCTTTGGGGCTGCCGGGTTCGCGCTCCCCTGGAGGCAACGCAGCAGTGCCAGAGGTCTTTGGCCGGGACGAAACACTGCAGGGAGGGATGACTTGTCTTCAGCCGTCCTCGGCTTGAATTTCCCTACGCAGAATTCTGTATTCCTTCCCGCCTATTGCAGCGGGATAGAGCTCCGGTCTCGGATGGCACAGCCTCTCCTCCTGCTCCGCGGTTCCTTCTTGGCTCCACAGCCCACCCTTTAGCACCCCTGAGCCCCTGAGCTAAGTGGTCGAGGCCGTGGCGTGGCCCGGCTGCTGATTGGCGAAGACGAGGGGGGGGCGGGGCTGTGGGAAACTCTGGGCCCCCGAGGTTCTGTGGTTATTTCCCGCCATGTCGTTTGTGGAGAGCGGCAGGCGTTYGGCTCCGCGGCGTCGCGGTCTTGGCACCCCAGCACCTTTCTCTCGGCCTTTGTATTCTGTATTCTCTCAGGGGGACAGCTGGGGTGAGGGCGAAGTTGATGAGGTGGAAGGATGCGATCAAGTGGCCCGTGACTTGCGAGCGGAGTTCTCAGCCGGGGCGTCGTCGGAGCCCAGAAGGGGCTCCCAGCTTCTCCCGCCGGACGGCGGTGGGTCGCCGGTCCTACCCGACAAACGCAATGGCATTTTCCCCGCAGCTACGCGTAGCCGGGCCCAGGCTCGGCGATGGCCGATCCAGGTCCTGTCTATTCTCTGCTCGTTGCTGTTCGCCATCCTCCTCGCTTTCCTCCTCGCCATCGCCTACCTGATCGTTAAAGGTACTGATGCCCAGACCTTGAAAGTCTGTCCAGAGCTAAGTTGAGCCAGGGCTTGGTTCTTACCTCCACCCACACCTTACCTGGCTCCCAACCGGCAAGCTGGCAGTTTCTTTCACTCCTACCACTGATTTGTACCATTCTTTGCTTCTCCCCTTTGTCTTCTCTTCCTAAATGGATTTCCCTCGTCCATAACTAGAACTGTTTTTAAGAAAGGGTCTTTTAATCAAATGAGTTCTATTGAAATACCTTTAAGTCATTGGACCCATGGAGTCAAATATTAGCACGATTATTTAAGCCATATTTCGGAGAACACCCACCATTAAAAGGAGACAGTGTAAAATGCATGTAATTGAAATAATCTGTATATATTCAAAGGCTTTGATCCACAAATGGTACCGATTTATTCCTGGGTACATTGAAGATTCTTCAAGGTCTAGGATTTCCATCCCACAGCTCAGATTTCTACATTTATAGGTAAAATAACTAGCCTTTCTTAGTTTTGTGGTGTTTGTAACTAGATTTAGTACACAAAGTATATTTTGGTTTTGTTGTGAGACTTGGTCTCACTGTGGTGCCCCTGCTGGTCTCCAATTTGCAGTCCTCCTGAGTAGTAGGTATTAAGGGTAGGCAWTGGCTGTTTGTATGCAAAGTTTTATTGCAGGAGGTGTAGTCTTGTTTTCACTAATTTTATCTTCTTTGTCTCAAGTTGAAATATTAGCCATATTGGAATAAAAATAGACTTGTGAAAGTTTTTTTTCCCCCCAAGGGGGCTTTCATAGATGTATTATTTGTTTGGATCTTGTGTATTACAGTGAAAAGAATTAAATTTGAGTTTAAATCCCAATTCTTACTATTGTATGACTTTGTCCAAATTATTGGGGAAAAAAAGTAAAACAAAAAAATCTTCGTTTTATGAAAACCACTCAACCACTCAACACTATCATTTTGGACCAGCTGGTAATGGGCTCCAGATGGCCTGTAACAGCTTACCGTGCTTGATTTTCATACAGAAGACAAGATTTGCAAGTTAATGTGTGAAATTTACCTCCTCATAACAGTATTGTATTTAAACTGTCAATCTTAAATGTTTGGCTGCCATTGTTTCATTTCTTTTGTAGGGGTTAGGCAGATTGAACCCAGGGGTACTTTACCTTTGAACTACATTCCTAGCCATAATTGTTTTTTGAGATAGCTAAGTTGTAGGTGCTGGCCTTGAACTTGGGATCCTCCTGCCTCAGCCTGTGGAGTAGCTTGGATTACAGGTGTGGGCCATCTCTCCCGGCTCACAGTTTAATTCCTGTATCACTCCCTTCCCCTTTTTTTACTATAACCCAGATAGTTTTGTCTTTTAGCTATTTTAKTGCTTTTCTCTGAGATATCACTTTTGTAAAGGCAAAACTGTGGTAAGTAGAAGATCATTGCAGAAGAAGTTTATACTCTGGAGAATGGAGAAAGGAACTGAAAAAATTTAGTATGTCCTTAAATTTGTATAAAATGGTATCACAACAACCACAGGATATGAACACTACTCTCCTATGTATAGCAGTTGACAGTATAGAGGTCTTTTTTGCTTGCTGATGATCATGTAGCTAGTAAACAGAATCAAAATTTGAATCCATTCCTGACTCCAGAGCACTTTATGGAGTTCTACAATGTCTTCCAAGTCTTTGAGTTAGTCTTCAGATTATGAATCTTTTATACCTAAACCTCTTTTTGTTTTTACAGAGTTGCATGCTGAGAATTTGAAAAATGAAGATGATATAGATACTGGACTATTAGGTATGAACTTGTCACTTGATTTGGTTTTTAGGTGCTGTTTGTTTTTTCATGTTAAATTGTACAAACTTTGGGGTAAAATGCTTAATGTTATTCTCATATCAATTAAAGTTGATTCTGTTAACTTTTTATTTGTATGTTTGTGATAAATGTTATTAGATTTTTGTTTTTATTTTTTATAATTTTATAAAGGATCATCAGTGTGTGTAAAATATTTTGAATATAACTATGACTAAAATCCAGCAAATTCTTAGCGTTTTAAAATTATCTTTTGGAAGAGGTTCCCCATGCATCTTCTCAGGAATTAGTAACAAGCAAGAAAACTTCCCCACAAACTTAGCCAAGATAAATAATATCATAAGCAGACCCCAGAGGAATTTAAATTAAAATGTTCTTATAAACAATTTCTTTATTTAAAAAAAAAGTAAAAATTTTAGTCTATATTTATACAGGTTACTTACAAGAAGAGTCAGGCCTGAGTTTCTGCAGTGTCTTATAAAAAGTGACATGGTTTATAGATTTCTAAAGAACAAGGTTATTTATGTTGCATTTCTTTATCTCCACAAAAATGATTTTGATAAAGTTCAGAACTTTTACCTATTTTATTACTACTTATTGTAATTCATTTTATTTGATCACTCTAAATAAAATTATATGACTTTTCACTCTAGATTGGCACTTGAAGTTCATCATATAATTCCCCATCCCCAGTCCTTGCTAAAGTCTTCAATCGACTTCTTTAAGGCTCATGCTCACATTGACACAAAGTATAGTCAACTGGTTTTGCAGAACAGCCAACTTTTTTCTTCAAATTACAAGGTTTACTAGATATCACATGGAAATGTTTATCTGTATCATTCTCAATTCTTGCATGAGAAAAATGTACTTTTTACTCATTTTATCAATATGTTGTTTCTTCTTTGGAAAACAGATAATTAGGCTTTTCGTAGCATGTATTGATGTGTCATCTCTTGAGAGAGTAGAAACAGAATTTTATGAACTTGGCATGGACTCTGACTTACTGTTGTTTAAAAGTTGGCCCAATTTTGCATTTATGGACAGAATGAGTAGCAGTTGTCATCTGAAGTGATAACTTGCTCAATATCAAAAGGAATGTGATGGTATTTTTTGTAATTATTGCCCTGCCTCCTTTTCTACTTCCAGTTAGATAATCTCATATGGCTTTTAGGTATGCCTGATAGGTAGTTAATTCTATGCTAGCAAATAGGAAGATCAGTATCTTAAAGTCTTTACTGATGACATGATTTCACTATTCAGGAATGAGCAAAACTGCTGTTTTTATGGCAGAAAACTAAGCAACAACTCTGCCAAGATGAAGGTCCTTATTTTGAGCCAATGATCAAGTGGAGAATATAGTCAATCTCATTTGATAGGCTAATGCAGTGAGACTCCTGGTGATTAATTTTAAAGTAAGCATAATTATATTTATAGCAAATATGTATATTATAGCATATGGCTAGAGAATAGTTAAAAATCTGTTTCAGAGAAGCAGTGCCAAGATGATTAAGCTCTGATAAGGTTGGGATGATTGTATTGTTATTCTATGATGAAATTCTCTACTATTTAACCTCTTTACACAATGTTTTGAATTGACATTCAAAAACAGTTAAAACTGTGCTTGAAACATTGGCTGGATGGAAAGATAGGCCAGTCATTCTCTCAGACTTTGACTTCTCTCCAAATCAGCACTGCATTGATTAATTTAGTAGCAAGAAAGATTGCCTCATTATTTTCTTTCTGAGGAAATGCCTGTGAAATTATATCCTGGCCCTTTTTACAGTTGCTATGAAAGTTTTCACATGAAGAAAGTTATTGAAATTATCCATTAGACTAAAATAAAATTGGCAATGTAGCCTTTTATCGTATGGTAATAATCTCATTTTATTTTCTTATATTTGTTTTGCCCTGTTTACTAAAAACCTCATAGCTATATAGATGGTTGGTTGTTTTATGTATTGCCTACTGGTTTGGGGCATAATTATAGTTGTTTATACYTGTTTATATATTAATATTTCGATGTCTCATGTTTAATTTTGTTGCAAACTGCCTCAGTTCTTCATTTGAAACTAGATCGATTTTTAGAAAAAATAAAAATAAATAATGGAGCACTGTAAGTAGTCTACCATAAGAGTTCTCTTACTGGATAGATTGATAAAACATTTTTACACTGCAGATTTTTGTTTTTCGTAAATTGAAATTTAATCCAGTCTAAGGTTGGCATAATAATAAGCAGATTGTAGCAGTAATTCTTATTTTGGTATGAGCTAAGAATCGCCCGGGGACTCAGGATATAGCTCAGTGGAAGAGCAGTCACCTAGCACTTGTGAGGCCCTATGTTCTATTGCCAGCACCACAAAAAAATAAAAATGAAAATCTATATCTAGATTTTGATTCAGCCCAAGATTATTCATAGTCAAAGTACTATAATTTGAGAAATACTTTTGAAAGCCTTGAACTTGTTTTTTAAATTTTAAGTGATTCTGATGCAGGTAGTCAAAGTACCATAGTTTGAGAAAATTTTTTGAAAGCCTAGATCTCTCTCTTTTTTTTAATACCTTTATGTTATTTATTTATTTTAATGTGATGCTGAGGATAGAACCCCAGGCCTTGCATGTGCTAGGCAAGCATTCAACCCCAAGCCCTTGGATCTCATTTTTAAAAATGCTTTTAAGGGTAATGAAAATCATTGAGAGGTGACTAATAAACAAGAAACAGTGTAAACCCAAATGTCTGTTAAGAAACCTAACTTCTAAAGGAGCTGGCACCCTGCTTTTGTCATCTTTGTTTACTGGAAAGAATTCTTCATGGGAAGCCCTGTATAGTCTTTAAATTAAAAAAAAAAAAAAAAAAAAAAGGTTGTGAAGACAGTTTCAGAGTATTGGGGGAGTTAATTGATCCTATTGGCTAAGAGGATTAGTCTCTAATAGTGTATGTCTTTACTAGTGAGATAGTTAGGGGGGTGTGATTGATAAAATGAACTAGTTTGAAGTTCATGACCCTTGATGTTCCCTGGATGGCATTGAAATCATGCTATGGGATTTTTGCTCTTCATTTATAATTGTCTTTCAAACCATTTTGTACTATAAGCCAAATTTTTCAGGGAGATTAATGAAACCAAATTTGTTTATTTAGTTAAAATTACCTTTCAGTTTGGGCACTGTGACACATGCTACTTGGAAGGCTAGGAGGTAGGAGTAATGCAAATTTGAAGTTAGCCTGAACAACTTAGTTAGACTGTGTCTCAAAGTAAAAATTAAAAAGGGAGAGAGGCAGAGCAAAACAGTACTTACTGACCCCATTCCAGTCATTCCTCTTTTAGGACTATTCTCAGGCCAATTAGGCCATTATTGCATAAATCTCATGTATTACAAAGTTGTTTAGTTTTTGCACATTGGCTTTTGCATTTGTAACAATTTCCCCAAGTTTTATCAGATTTCACAAACTTAGTCCTAATCCCAACACTGCATTTTTTTCCTTYGGTCTTAATATTACCCAGGATTAATAGATGACCTTAAATACATAGGGAAAATAGAATTGCCTTTAGCAGAAAATATTAATCTAAGACTATTGCTAATGAATTATATGTAGGGCACTTTTTTAATATGCATGTCAAATCATGCAATACAGAAATTTTAATAAGACCTTATGGAATGCCTTCAGTGTCTTCAGAAGCTCCGTGGTGAAAACAAACAAACAGGAAAAAGAAGAAAAAGAAAAGCAGCAGCTTTTGGGCTGTGTGTGGTGGCACAGGCTTGTAGTCCAGGGAGGCTGAAGTAGCAAGATTGTTTAAGCCATGAATTTGTGATCAGGCTGAGCAACATAGGGTGACCCCTTTCTCAAAACAAGCAAAAAAACAGTCCTCAGTGGCAGAGTGCTTGCCCTAACATGCATAAGATCTTGGGCTCAGTTCCTGCCAAACACATACATATTAGCAACATGATATCTTTGGGTCCTTATCAATCTTAATATCTGCTAGTTAACATTAATTCTCTTTTGTGACTAGATTTGTAGAATCTTGCAGCGTAAGGGCTATTCTTGTTTTTTGAGCCACCCATTTGATTCTTACAGTTGAAAAGTTTCCAGGTTTCTGCACACCTACAGAGAAGAAATGACTGACCCATGCTGATTTCAAAGATGAAACTAGATTGCTTGAAGATTTTCTCACCTGTTTCTTCTTCAAAGCCTTGGGACTTTTATCATCGTGACGTCATATTAGAACATTAGTAATGTTAAAAATTTCCAAAAGAAAGCAAGTATTGAAGTTGACCTATTCTTAAAAAGACATGTGTTCAAAAAATAACTCAGTTTTTTCACTAYAGTGAAAAATCATTGAAGCCTTGAAGTTTTTTTAACCTGTGTATGAACCTTTTAACTTGAGCCCACAATCTACAAATACATTACTCTATTCAGAGTTTATTGAAACAGTCGTACCTATTGATTTATATATTGTCTATGGCTGCTTTTACTTTACAACAGCAGACTTGAGGAATCATGACAGAAACCTTATGGCTCTGAAAGTTTATACGTACATACACACACAGATATATGAAAATTGCTCACATCCACTTATTCAACAAGAAGAACACAAACCACATCTTTTTGCTAAAAGGATGTATGTTGGTGTTTTTTATTTTTACTTTTTCATCTTTTATGATGCTTGGTGCCATAATGACAGATGCTAACAGCAGTCAGGTATGGATGCAATGATGATTAGAAAGGGAAAAAATATTGAATTGATTATTTGAATCATGAATCTGAAAATGAAAATGCTTTGCAAATTATGAAACAAAGTAGTTTTATTTCTTTACCAAAACAATGTTATTAAAAAGTTTAAAAATTTGTTCAAACATTAATTTGATGATATAAGTGCAATAAAATAAAGGCAGAAGTTATGATAAGCTATAACCAATTTGATATCTGTCTGAAATATGAAATCAGTATTTACAAGATGGATATGTTACCAGCATGCGTGAAGTTAAAAG